CCAAGCGTCGAAGATGACAAGGTATGATCTCAAAACATTTTTTTTTTCTATCTTACACTTTTATACTGCTTTTGTTACCCATAACTGCGAAGAACACCTGTTTTATTTGAATTTTGAAGTTTAGTGTTTTATTTCCTTTCCATGCTTGAAAACCAAAAAAATATAGAAAGCAAGTGTTTCTATCCCATTTTCTCGTTTGTTTTCATCTACAGTCTATATTTTTCAATTTGGTACGGTTATTATTTTATGGAGAAGAGGGAAGATGTGGGACATGCATATTCTCTGACATTTAGTGACTCCAACACGGTAAGCATATTCCCTGGGATTTAGTGACTCCAAGCATATGTTACGCAACAGCGTTACGCAATCACTATACTCATAGTGTTGGCAACACGGCATTCGTTCGCCGCCTATCGAGTCCGAGCCAACTGCAATGCAGCAGCAGCTCACTCGTCCTCTTTCGTATCCAGGACGTCAACGGAGTAAGTCGTGTTCATCGGTCGGGGGCGATTCTTACCAACGGAAAGTTGAATCCACAGTATTCACCGTCTACTCCGAAAGGGCAACCATGCCGAGCGTGTTGGAGCCAGTGCTCCCGTCTACCTGGTTGCTGTGATGGAGTATCTGGCCGCTGAAGTTCTCGAGTTGGCAGGAAATGCCGCCCGTGACAACAAGAAAACCCGAATTATCCCACGTCACCTGCAGTTGGCCATCCGCAACGACGAGGAGTTGAACAAACTTCTTTCCGGAGTGACCATCGCGCAAGGTGGTATCCTGCCAAACATCCAGGCCGTCCTGTTGCCCAAGAAGACCGAAAAGATGGGTTTGCTGTCTTCGCTTCTGTTTATATCGCTCCACATTATGACGGGTTCCTTGCTGAAGCATCGCCGCCCGCGCTACGTTCTTCTCGTACAAACCCGTCTGACACTCTTCGTCGAACCAATCGTTCCGTCGATTCCGCTCCACGAACCCGGCGGCGCCTTCAGCAGCGCTGTAAATGGCTGCTTTCACGTTGCTCCAGCAGTCCTTAAGAGGGGCTTCGGTGAGCTCTCCCTCATCCGGCAACGCTGCGTCGAAGCATGGCACGTACTCAGTTGCGACTTCGGGCAGTTTCAGTCGCTCCAGATTGTATCGTGGCGGGCGTCGGTACCGAATGTTGTTGGCAACGGAAAGTTTTTGGCGCACCTTGACCATTAGAAGGTAGTGCCTTCCGTCGATCAAAACGTGGTCGATTTGCTATTCTGTCTGCTGCGGTGATCTCCAGGTATACCGATATGGGAGGTTATGCTGGAAGTAGGTACTACGTATGGCGATGTTCTTAGAGGCGGCGAAATCGATGAGTCTAAGGCCGTTGGTGTTCGTTAGCTGGTGAGCACTGAACTTTCCTATAGCCGGTCTGAATTCCTCCTGCTGGCCGACCTGAGCGTTAAGATCTCCGATGACGATTTTGACGTCATGGCTTGGGCAGCTGTCGTATTCCCGTTCCAGCTGCGCGTAAAAAGCGTCTTTATCGTCATCGTCACTTGCTAAGTTAGGGCTGTGCACGTTGATTATGCTGACATTGAAGAAACTTGCACATTCTGCTATCGATTGGCCAACACCCAATCACGCACTTCTACATTTCGCCCATCACGATGAAGCTGTACCCAGCTCATGTGTATTGCCGCAGCTCTGGTAGATGATATAACCATCCCTATACGTATGTACCGACGATCCCTTCCAGCAAACCTCCTGCAACGCTACGATGTCGAACTTGCGGACCCTCAATAAATCGTAAAGAATGCGGGTGCTTCCCAAGAAATTGAAAGACTTGCAGTTCCATGTTCCGTTAGTCCGTTTCCGTTGCTTGAATCTATGCCGATTGTTCCGGTCCATATTTACATTGCTTACTTCTTGTACTTTTGTTTTTTTTTTACGGCTGGCTTGTAGGGTCTGCACCTACCCCCACTGTCTCGCCGGCGGACCATCGTGCACAGCACTGCTTAGAGTCCCACGCTGGCATCAGCCGCTCCTAACATGGAGAACAGACGCCGTTTTGAACCGCACATCCATGGCAAACAGACGCTCGAAGACTGCACTCTCCGGAGAGAGGAGTCCCCCCCCCTGCAGAAATAGAAGTCTTCGAGATTGAATGCGCATGTTTAAATATCGGTCATTCAGTTACTTATCATATTAATTTGCATTTAATCTAGTTATACCAATCATCACAGAAGCCAACCTTGAATCGTAGACCAGGTCCATTAACAATACACTCGTTCCAAGAAGGGGCTCTATGATACCACTCATAAAGGGTGATACGGTCAAAATTTGGTCAAGGGAAAACGCGTGTAAATCGGTGAAATCGTTTATTTAAAAAATCAAATTAAATTTCTTTTTCAAGTTCAATTAGTATAAAATTCAGGAAAAATATTCAGTTAGGCTTCCGCTTTTCCAAATCCGAATTGCCGGGCCTCACGCTTGACCCCTACCATCAGATTTTGTACAGCCACCTTGTCCACCTTCTTCGCCGCAGAAAGCCAGTTTGCCTTGAACTGCTGCTCGCCCTTAGCAGTTTTTTTGGTCTTCTTTAGGTTCCGCTTGACAATAGCCCAGTATTTCTCAATTGGGCGGAGCTCTGGCGTGTTGGGAGGGTTCTTGTCCTTGGGAACCACCTGCACGTTGTTGGCGGTGTACCACTCCATGGCCTTTTTACCGTAATGGCAAGATGCCAAATCCGGCCAAAACAGTACGGAACAACCGTGTTTCTTCAGGAAAGGCAGCAGACGTTTATTCAAACACTCTTTCACGTAAATTTCTTGGTTGACAGTCCCGGAAGCTATGAAAATGCTGCTTTTCAAGCCACAGGTACAGATGGCTTGCCAAACCAGATATTTCTTTGCGAACTTTGACAGTTTCATGTGCTTGAAAACATCTGCTACCTTTCCCCTTCCTTTTGCCGTATAAAACTCCTGTCCCGGAAGCTGCTTGTAGTCGGCTTTGACGTAGGTTTCGTCGTCCATTACCACGCAGTCAAACTTTGTCAGCATCGTCGTGTACAGCCTCCGGGATCGCGCTTTGGCCGTCGTATTTTGTTTATCATCGCGATTTGGAGTCACTACCTTCTTGTAAGTCGATAGTCCGGCTCGTTTTTTGGCTCGATGCACGGTTGTAGACGATACACCCAGCTTATTTGCGGCATCTCGGAGAGAGAGGTTAGGGTTTCGCTTGAAACTACCAGCAGCTCTCTTTGTCGTCTCAGCGGCTTCCGGTTTTCGATTTCCCCCCGATCCAGACTTCCTGGCTGTCGACAAACGTTCCCCAAACACTTTAATTACATTTGTAACGGTTGATTTGGCAACTTTTAGCGATTTTGCCAACTTTGCGTGCGAGTAGCTCGGATTTTCGCGATGCGCGAGCAAAATTTTGATACGCTGCTCTTCTTGCTTGGACGGCATTTTGACAACTGAAGAGTGAATTCCAAAATCAAAATAGGAGCAACATTCTACACACACACACCTTTAAAATGAGGGGTGTTCAGGTTTTTTAAATGCAAAATTGAAAGAAATACGTCAAGTTGATATTGACCAAATTTTGACCGTATCACCCTTTACTGTATAGTCATCTTCTTCTTCTTCAGTTTCGCTCACCACCCGGAGATACAACCAGGATTAGTTTTTTAAAGTAATAATTTCATCTGAATACCCAACTAACCATATCGTACCTCAGTGACATTGTCTCACTCTGAACCTACATTTGAAGTTATTTTGTGATTGTATGGTTGCTTGGATACTCACATAAAATGTTGTGCAAGTACCACAAGTTCAACAACGCTTAACTATGGATAGCTCAATGTTTATCCCATTAATTCTTTGAATCAGCGAACACCAACATGATTATCTCTAGATAGAGCTGGCATTAGGGCCTAACAGCTTTTGTAAACAATTACTTCTCTTGATAATTTCTAGAAATTCAGGGCTCGCCCACACAAACCAACATCCTCATAGGGTAGGGAAAGACTTCCCCTATCCGATGGTTAAGTTGGTCTGCGTGGGCGTGCCTTAAATTCCTAGAAATCATCGATAGAAGTCATTGTTTACAAAAGCTGTTACGCCCTAATTCCAGCTCTATCTAGATCTACTAGGAAACACCAAAGAAAATATTGAGATAAAGCTCAAAAATACAGTTTTAACTGATAGTATTTTATAAACATCAAGCAAACCCATATTGGATCCTGCCAACCCATGGTGCCCATGTGGGCCATCAGAATGATTCATCCGTTGCGAAGTGAAGTACTTCTCAAACTGAAGCGATACATTTCTCAATATTTCAACATTATCCTAACGTTAACTTAATATTATCACTCATATGCTCGTTTTCACCCGAAACCGATCCCCCACCCAAAATCAAATAAAAATGTTTCAGTAAGGCAAACCCGACCGGACATAAACGAGAATATGGGTATACATCTTCACTATCGCATCTACGGGTTATCATCGAAAGTACTTGCATTTTACTCAGGCACTTTTGCGTAAACTGCCAACACCCTCTCATACTCGAAATGTGTCACGACCAAATTGGCACAACGACGCCCGATACACTCGCTGATCAATGCACAGGGTAATTTGTTGAAGATAAGAAAATCAAATTGTAGTTCCCAAAATGCTGAATATAACATTTTTTTTAAACTAAACTACCTCATATACCTAAATCAGCTGCTTTTAAGATTTCAATTTCAGTTTCATCATTGTCCTGCTTACCACAAATGAGACATTTCACGCTTTAAAATGGGTTGACTATTTTGTTCAATGATACCTATTTCTTGATAACTGTTTTCCTTTCCGTACAAATTTCAATCTCAGAACGGAGTTAATAAATTTCACTCCAACAGATCAAACACGTCGCTGTCCCATTAAACCGATACCCTCTACCCGTAACCTGCCACTAAATCACCGTTTCGGCACGACCAACACACAACCTTCCACACTAAACCGATTGTCTCTCCCTTTTCTCTCCCTTCTCAGGTATAACAAACACACTGCACTCGGTTGACGAGCACGGTCAGTATCATTCGTCCTCATCGGCCGAGCAGCACCTGCTGGAGCCCCCAGACCAGGTCGACGTTGCCGAGAACGAGATTTACGACTCGGATGAAAGCAATCTGCTCCGGACACCGCTGGACCGGGGGCCGTACTTTGATTTATCAGCCTCGAAGAACATCACGGCCCTGGTCGGAAAAACGGCCTATCTGAACTGTCGGGTGAAGAACCTGGGCAACAAAACGGTAAGCATTTTAAATCGAAGCAATGTGGGTGGTGGGAGGGGGTGTGTGTGTGTGTGTGTGTGTGTGTGTGTGTAAAAGATTGCTGTTTGGGATTAGTTTTGGGATTTACAGACAATGAAAGGTATCAATCCTCAAGGATTCGGAGCACAATGGATACTTGCTGTGATTGCAGGCTTTCTGGCCCTTCTGTGTGACATGCGAAAAGAGATTTTGCAAAATTGAAACCATTCAAGTTTTCCCTGGATGTGTATATTGAACTTGTCTTCTTTGCATTTCCACCGACAGGTTTCCTGGGTTCGACATCGAGACATTCATCTTCTAACCGTAGGTAGATTTACATACACATCGGACCAAAGGTTCCAGAGTGTGCACAATGCACAGACGGACGACTGGTCGTTACAGGTGAGTGTTTTGTGATTGGAGCAGATCCATTACTTCCATACGGCCGTTCAAACTGGCTCATATTTCAGATGCGTTTAACGAAACTCGCAAAAACGCAGGTCACTCATGGACTGAGAAAATGTTTACTCAAATATAAGTGAATGTCATGCACATTTGACTGACATTTTCTCATATATGAGCGGCATTTATTCAAATTGTCTACGTTTTTACGAGTTTGAATAAACGGACCTCAAATATGACCCAGATTCAACGGCCTTGGCCCCTTATGTGAATTGCTAATCCCACGGAAAAATCCTTGACGACCGCTATTCGCGTAACATTATTGTGTGCTCCACAGGACGTGGAACTGCTATGCGAATAGTGGCAGTTGAGAACTGCGAACTGTGACACATTTTTAGAAGAGATGTACTTTTTGTCAATATGGAATGCTTCACGTGCCGATTCGACAGCCTCAGGCCATCTTGATTTATTGAGCTAATTGCGTAAAGAAAATCAATGATCGATTCTCTTCATCGCCTTTCTGATGAACTAGCCCGTGGCTAAAAATCAGTGCTGTTAAATTAAGTGTTCCTTAAATTTGAGCTAAGTAATCGCACCCAATACTGTCCGGCGCCCTTAAAATACCAATCTGCCTAAAATAACGATGCGTCCGCCCCCGACGTTGATGACGTTGTTTCAAATAGTTTATTATCTAGTTAAAATGGTACGTTGCAAACAGGGTTGTTAACGCGAAAAATTATCGTCGATAATTGTCATCGTCGATGGCGATAACGTCTGGTATCGTTACGCCGATAACGATAACATCTTAAAACGTTAACGTTATCGGCGATGACAATAAGTACTATACGTTATCGACTTGATAATATCTTATTGTATAAATTTAGGATAGGGCAAATGGATGTAATGTCGGCCTAAATGCTCCTAATTTGGGCCCATACATAAATTCAGCAATCGATTAAATTTTCAATAGCGTCCATAAATATCCGTTAGTATCGTCCCAATGACGCGTTCATCTAGATAAAATTGATAAATAGCAGATTTTTAGCGATGGGCCCAATCTTAGATCCATAGGCCAACATTAGAGCTATTTCCCCTAATAATAAATTTCAACATGTGGCAAGGGAAATGGCTCTAATGCTAATGGTTGGGCCCATCGCTAATGAAAATGTGTGCTACTACTGAATTTATGAATGGGCCCAAATTAGGGTCATTTAGGCCGACATTAGAGCCGTTACCCCATATCTCGAGATTTTGGCAAGCTATAAGGTAACTTTCTTCGACAAAGTTGTTCTGGACACCAAGGTCAATAGGATAGGCAGTTAGATCAGAATGTATTCACTACGTAGCGCTAGTGTACACGAAGTAATATCTCGAGATATTGGCCAGCTTGAAAGTAGCTTTTAAAAGTAACAGAAAGTTGTTCAGGAATGCGAGGCCAACAGGATGGGGCTAGTTTGATCTGAAGTTTTTCAATTATCAGCCTTTTATTTTTTACAAGAAACAATTATAATACACATTGTTTTAGTTCAAGTTTATTAATATATCATAAAACCGATGAGAGTAAATGCAGGAGTGAATATTTTGACAGAAACGATTAAACAGCTGATTTTGATGGCTTCTATGCCTTCGTGAGCCTGTTATTGAAGAAGAAAAAATAAATAAATGGATAATAAAATAACACAATATTTAGAAGCGTACAAATTGACCTTTAGCAGTGATTGCTGCTCCAATATGGCATCGGAAAGCTGAGATTGCGTTTGGCCTAATATCGAACCGACAAGCGAAAAGAGTAGCTCAACGCTGGCACTAGCAGGGATAGCAGTATTGTAAAATCAGGCGAGTAAATAGAACAAACTACTTCAAAGTTTTTTGAGGATATTTGTTTTTTGAATTGGAAAAACTTTTCGTAGCTTTTCCATGGTATTTTCTGCCACTTATCACCAGACATATTTTTGCCTGACATTTTACCATTCTCTGAATACAGAAAAAAAAACTCTCGTAGAAGAATTCGATCAACCGCTTATTACACCGTCGGTAGGAACATTGACGTTTATAAAACTTCACGCCCACTATGTTTTATCAGACGTTATCGACTTGATAACATACAGTAATTATCGTCATCTCCGATCACGTTAACGTTTGCAGACATTATCGTCATCGCCGTTAACGATAACAAACGTTATCGTCAACGGCGATGACGATAATTTATCGATTAACAACCCTGGTTGCAAAACATTTGGACTTTATCGAGCCAACCTGTACTATACAGGTAGCGAAGGTGGCATTTGCTACACAACAAAAACCGGAGGAGCGGAAAATCTCTATAATGTTCCTTGAATATATACAAAGTTCCTTTATTTTTTCTCCTTGAAATTATGATTGGTTTCCAAAAGTTTCGTCAACATTTTCCATGCACCATAATTTATGTTTTTTTTTATTTATCTCATATCATACTTGACTGTCTCGTAATTTCAGGAGAACACCTTGAACAATTTCTAGAATTTTCCTAATCATTCGTGGGCAAAACAAAGTTTCCAAAACTACCAGTATGTTATCAAATCAAAACCTCCGCAGTATGAGGCCCTTACTGCGCTACCCAAAGCAATGCCGCAACGGACTTTTGTTTCTCCGAAGCACTCGGTCCCTCTTGTTAAATCACAAGTACTAGGCTAAACAAGGGGAGGATTATGAATATAATGATACTTAAAATAAAAAGAAAAAAAAAACAAAAAAAATAAGAGCAGTCCGCATCGTGCTCTCTTGCCGTGTGGATTTATTTGCTTTTTGTAGAAGGAAGTGTTACTACTACCTAAAGCTACAACAAATTTGAACAGCACTTTTCAGTGCTCACCTGTAAAATGTCTACCTTGTTCAGCTCTTATTCCTTTTCATCTTTATTTTGATCCTACCCGAGGTAATCCTTATTGGAAATCGATTTGGAAAATTCCTCTTCGATCCTCGAGATTCTTATAGCAATCTGCTTGGAAGTCGATTAGGATAAACATTTACTGCTGCCATGGCGCCTAAGTGCAAAAGAAAAGGGCAAACTCTTGATCCTCCTTCTGACGAAATTAATTTGAGCAATCAATTTGATTTGCTATCGGATGATGAGAATGATCCATCATTCAAGAAAAATTCAAGCAAACTTTCCAGGCTTAATGCCAAGAAGAAATAGGAGGAATCCCTACTGTAATCTTGTCTGTAACTTGTAACTTGTTTTTCAAAATACTTTTAAGGCAGAGAATTTCACTCGAATCTTTAAGCTGTCAGTGTCATTTTAACTCAAAACTTTCCAATCTTTCCGAAAAAAATACTTTTGAAACTGGAAAAACACGGAGTACATCCGAAAAGGGCCAAAACTTATTAAGTTATCAAAAAAAACAATATTAAATCAGTAATGTCTTCTAAACGGTGCATCTTAGAAAAATGTTACCGAAGTACTTTTTGTTTGCAAATTTGATGTACTTTCATAAAATTAGGGTGACAAACTTTTTTGACTTTTCTTAATAGCTTTTTTGAAAATTGTATTTTTTTAAAAAACAGTTTTCTCCAGAACAGCCTACTGTGCACTAGATAGCATTTTCAGTCAGCTATAATATAAGGATAATAAAAAAATTATTGACATGTCACTTTAAAGGGAAAGTTTATATTTTAGTTCAAAACACAAATACCAAACTTTTTTTTTACCGTGCATATTTTCTCCATATAACACCAACAATTGTCTAAAACTTCGCCCAAGACACCAAACCAATCGGACAAACCGTTTCCGAGATACAATTTTTTGAAGATATCATGTGCATTTTTCATAGGCCCTTCTCATAAGTAAGGCTAGATTCAAAATGGCGAATCAAGTATGCAAAACGGCGTTTTTCTTCCCCAAAAACTTGTATGCAAGGTTTCATGCAAATCAAAAAATACAAAAAATAAAAACTGGAAAAATTTCCCACTTGTTCGTGGAACCGCTCTTCAGGAAGACTGGAGGAAATTTCCAAACCTCACCCAGTGCCGTAAGTGCCAGGGATGGGGTCACGGAACTAAAAATTGAATGAATTGTGGTGATTCCTCTCACGCAAAGGACGACTGTCCTGTGAAGGAAGATCCTAAGAAATTTAAATGTTTAAATTGTGGTGAAAACCACAAATCCAATTTTTGGGAATGTAAGACTCGCAAAGCGACTCTACAATCTCGTTCTAAGCGACAGGTAGGAAACGGTCCACGTTCCCAAACAGGTACAAATTCCTCTGCTGTTAACAACGGTCAGCGAGGATAAAATTCTACATTCGTACCCGTAGGTACAAATATCACCCCTGCTTCAAATTTTTCATCTATACCTACTCCCCTCGCTGCTAACAATGTTCAGCGAGTTAATGGAGCTACCTATAATGCTTTTGCTAACCAACGTAATTCTAACGGAAATTTGGAAAAAATTGACTTAGGAAGCATTATTGCTCCTAAAATGGAATTTTTACAGAAATCATTAATTGAAATGATTACTGATATGCTCAAATCTAACTCCATGTTTGATGCTATTCAAATTGGAGTTAAATTTGCGAATAACATTGTCATTACATTGAAATTTAGCAATGGATTTTAAATCATTAAATAGTTTAAATTGGAATGCTCGATCTCTTAAAGATAATGAAGACGAGCTATTTAACTTTTTGAGAGTTCATAACGTACATATTGCCGTTATAACTGAAACGTTCCTTAAACCTGACGATAAGGCTAAGAAGGACGCAAATTATTTCATTTATAGAAATGATCGTCTTGATGGACCCTGTGGTGGCGTTGCCATCATTGTTCATAGACGAATCAAACATAAAATTCTTTCTTCATTTGAAACCAAAGTTTTTGGAACTTTGGGAGTTTCGGTTGAAACAAAATTTGGACAAACTACGTTTATAGCTATCTATTTGCCATTCCAATTCGTAGGCCAGCAAAAGAATTTTATCAAGGGTGACCTTCGTAAACTTACCCGTCATAGGTCTAAATTCTTCATT